TTGGAGACAGCGCTCAGACAGTGATCTCTCGGACCAATCATCGCATCATTCATTACAATAACAAAAAACTTTGTTTTATTTTTCGCATTCACTTTTAGAGTCGACTTTCAATTTAGGCATTAAATAAATTATTTATTAAAATATAAATAATACAGTCATAGGAAGTAATCATAGAAAACAAATCGTTATATTATCTATTAATTTGATTGCACTTTATATCAGCGACTAAATGATCGATATGTGGCGCATAAGACTTCACTTTATTGATGTCCAGTATTTCAATCGACCATTTGATGCTCGGATATAATGATAACATGATTTCATTGACTTTTAAGCACAAATCCAGCGCCCAATCCCTCCACACCTGAGTTCTGTCTTTAGAGCCAAAGTGTGAAACATTTTCATGAATATGTAAAATAAGTTTTAAGCTCTTTATGGAAAGCGCACGACAGGCCACCCGAAGACTGTCCAATGAGGTCGGTATGAGTCCCATATAGACCCGATCGGCGACACCGACCGGACACAGGAGTCTATTGTCGCCGAAATGGACGACACATTTATGGGACACTCGATTGAGTTCGAGGTTTCTTCGGAGGGCTTCGACGGCGTTTGGATTCCATTCACACGAATGGATCAGTTCTGGTCGACAGTGAACGGCAAACACAAGCGTAAAGTAACCGATTCCTGCGAACAGATCCACGACTGTCTCACCGGTGCAGTCGAGTCGTGAGACCCGTAACTTCTCATTGATATTACCAAAACTGAACATACATTTACTCACATCCAGACTATAGCTGTAAATCATAGCAATTATTAGACACACATTTCTTCGTCAACTAAACAATCATTAATTTTATACACAATTCCGTTGTCTTTATGAGTGACCCATAAGTCGTGTCCTCTAACGAGTCGGACATTAGGTGTGCGGAAGTGGTCCGAAGAGATGCGGTTCTTGACGGCCAGTCGTTTGCACTTTAGTTTGAGACACAACTCGTCGATCAGCTCTTCGCTCGGATTCGTGTCATTTCCGGTGACTTTCAGACATAATTTCAAACAAAAGACAAATTAATTGAAGGATTTCTTCGACAAAAAAGACCAATAAATACCTAAATCTGCGAAAACTGTTTCATCGATAATAACCAAATCGTTGTGACGATTAAAACGGATTTTCTTCGTGTCGATGGCTATTGAATTGCGTGGTGTGTGTGGTTTGGGATCAGCTGAGAGTGACATTAGTTTTACTGTTAAATCAGATGATAATAAAGAGTAAACTTTTGATGGAAAAAGTGGCGAAAGTTATTCATCAATGACTGCAATGTTTTTGATGGCATTTATGAGCAAAACATGTGTTTTTCTCTTCAAAAACATAAACAAATGAAAAACACATTCAATCAGAAAATTGTCGTCTCTTTCACTGCTTTTTGTCTTCAATTATGAATTCAATTGTTTTGATCTCACGTTTCGCCCGACAGTCGACACCATTAAGACAACTGTTGTCTCCGAGCCATCACTTCCGACCACAAGAAGTGCTTATCTGTCGTTCATTCAAGTTATGGCAGGAGAAGACACTGAAACTCATGTATCACCGAAAGAGACTCTTCGATGCCGTCAAACCCAATGTTGAGCCCAGATCTCGACCACAAGAATGGTATGTCTTATTATCTGTCGTTCATTCAAGTTATGGCAGGAGAAGACACTGAAACTCATGTATCACCGAAAGAGACTCTTCGATGCCGTCAAACCCAATGTTGAGCCCAGATCTCGACCACAAGAATGGTATGTCTTATGATATGTGCGACGACTCATAACAGAAGTGTGCACACAACAGAAACTAGGCGTCCTCGAATTTCCGTCTCTACAAACGCAAGTTGGTTGCTGAAGTGCTCTTCACCAGACTTCTATCAGAATTCTATAGTAAGTGAGTGGTCAGGTTTGTCGACAAAGAGGTCCGACAGCGGGAAGAGCTTGGAGTGAAAGACGTGTCCATTAATGTGAAGGCAAACAACGAGTTCATACAAAACGGGCAAAACATTTGCCAATCATTTATCAAAACATATTTAAGACATTTCTTGCCACGACTTCCAGAGGACGGCGTTTGGTATTTGAGATATATTTTGCTCTTATATTTGTTATTTGATTGAGTACTGAATGTTTTTACCATAATTTCAGTGCAATTCACGACTATCTAACCAGCGATGAAGTCCTGGCAGACGTCGCCAAATGGATCGGTTGTATTGATTTGGTTTTGTGTGAAGTATTTGATAACTATTTCTCGCATTTAAGTCAACAAAACTAACTTTTGTCTTAAATGTTAGGAATTCCCACCAAATGAGACCACTTTAGCCAATACTGTTCGGGCACTGATCGGTGCGGCGGCCGAAGACCACACCATAAAAAGAGCCGAAAATTTTATATTGGATTTTGTTATGACTTATCTATTGGACAAAGACTTACTGGAAATATGGGATATTCCGAACCCGCGGTTCAATCTGAACGCCATCTTAAGCCGCGAACGATTACCCGCTCCTGAATATAGACTACTGCGGGAAAGCGCCGCCGGGACTATAGAGGCCTGTTATGTGGTCGGCATTTACGTCGATAAGCAGTTCATCGGTTCCGGTGAGTCCTTCTCCATACCTATACCATTTGTATACTTATTTACCCGTCATTTAAACTCAGCTCCGGGAGAGACCATCGAAATCGGCAAACAGATGGCCGAATTGGATGCACTCCGAAGACTGTTCCGATTGCAAGCGTCAGAAGTGTTGTTCAAATTCGGTCCAAAAGCATACGATATAGATATGAGTGAATCGTCTAAAGAGACGCTTCATTTGGATGAATGGTCGCCGTCTTTGTTGGATAATAAACGAATGAAAACTAAACAAATTTTGTAATCATTTAATTTGTTCAACAAATGGAATCGAAAAGTAATTATCAAATCATTGTTTTTTAGTTAAATTTAATGTTTTTTGCAAATATAAAAAAATATAATTTCATTATAGTTTAGTTTTAAAATTTAAATAAAATATCGTATCAAAAGTGTTGATCTAAATGTCTGATCATTGAGTCGACCATCAAATTGCCGAACCNGAATCGAAAAGTAATTATCAAATCATTGTTTTTTAGTTAAATTTAATGTTTTTTGCAAATATAAAAAAATATAATTTCATTATAGTTTAGTTTTAAAATTTAAATAAAATATCGTATCAAAAGTGTTGATCTAAATGTCTGATCATTGAGTCGACCATCAAATTGCCGAACCTATCCTTTATCCGAAGTCTTCCGCATATATACCGCGTCTCTTCCGTTCCGTCCGAATACAGGGTTTTTATGTTTCCATCGGAATATTCTCTTCTCTTTTACGTTGAAAAATATATCGACAATTAATTAGTGATATTCTTAGGCAAAAACTATTCAAACAATGCGTCTCTTCCGTTCCGTCCGAATACAGGGTTTTTATGTTTCCATCGGAATATTCTCTTCTCTTTTACGTTGAAAAATATATCGACAATTAATTAGTGATATTCTTAGGCAAAAACTATTCAAACAAATACTTTATAATTATCAGTCCTTATCTCTCGGTCTCCATTGGCGAACTCCAACACTTCCGAACCGTCTGAATGTATTCGCCAAACGGTTCCGTCGGTCATAAACACTTCTTCAGAGCCGTCGGGGTTTATGGTTCGCTGCAAACCATTGCCATAAATAATGTGTTTCACACCGTTTTTGTGCACTTTTTCTATTTGACCGCTAAATATGAGAACAAAAAAATTAATTATCATCTCATTTGCGATGGCCTTAAAAGCGGACATACTTTGGAAAGTTTGTGATTTTGAGTCCATCGGCGTATGTGGTCTGAGTGGAGCCGTTGGCAAACGTGTAAAACTAAATACAAATTAATTAAACATTTAATTGGAGATCAATTTTACTCAAAACTAATCATAAATACAATTGTGTTGTCTTTAGAGACATTCATTTTGTCGCCGTTCGGGAAATTAATTGTCGTATCGTTTGGACTCTCAGTGACCGATATATTGAGTCCATTCGACGGCGGACTCATTGTTCGAGTTTTCGGTAAAGTCTTTGTGTTTTGTGAAAAAATATTTCCTTTTTGTTTATTATTTGATATCTCTTTCATCTGTGGTTTTATTAAATCATAAGATTTCGATTCGATGTTAACTATTCTTTTGTTCAGTCTTTCAATCTGTTCCGTGAGTTTCAAGAGTTGATCACT